GATTTGAATTTGTTTATAAATATTACATCAACATTTTGGTATTGATATTAATATATTAATCCTGCATGAGGCTACCAATTAATGAAGAAATATGATTATTAATATCAATACCAAAACATTGATTTTAATATTTGATAAATCCAATTATCACTACAGATACAGCATATATATATATATATATATATATATATATATATATATATATATGTATGTATGTATGTATGTATGTATGTATGTATGTATGTATGTATGTATGTATGTATGTATGTATGTATGTATGTATGTATGTATGTATGTATGGATATATATGTATGTATTGATATATATATATATATATATATATATATATATATATATATATATATATATATATATATATATATATATATATATATTAGGGACGGTCCACAAAAATCACGGTTGGATACGACAGTGGTGTCAAGGTTTGGTACGTTTTTGATACAGCAAAAAAAAAAAAGAAACAAGCCAGAGGATTTCTCTGATTTAATTTTTTTTAATGTATTAAAACTAACATCATAAAACAAGATCATACTTTTTTTTTTCTTTTACTTTAAACTGTAATAGAGCTATACCTCTAGAGTTTCTGCTTAGCAGAAAATACAACAAATTCTTCTTCATACTCAAAACCAAAAAGCTGCTTATAAAAATAAATAAATATTATATTGTAGAAGGTAAACAAATAAAAAATAAAAGAACAATTTAGTTTTAACTATTTTTAGGTATTTTTTATTTTCAGAAAGATGAGTGTCCACCTTTTCTTCAGACAGCACAGATCTGCTTGATTTGACTGTCACCTGCCATTTTAGTGGATCTGAAAGCAGGAATTATCTGACTGAAATGGGCTTATGAAGGAATGATGTAACGGAACTGAAATAGCAAAAAATGTCTGCAGATTCTGTCTAGCCCTACTAATCCCTCTGTCATTTGTGATGCAGAACTTTAATATGCATATTAAATCAGGATGATGGTGATGCAGTTATTGATAATGTTGATTTAACTTCTGTTTCTCTGTGTTCAGGGTTTGCCGAAGGGTTATGAGGACTGTCCCTTCTATTTCTGGTTCAACACCTCATTTGTGGAGAACTACAGGTGTGTTTTTGACATTAGTTTGTAATGTTTTTTTCTCTCTCTCTCCATGACTCATTTACTCACTTACAATGTTTTGTGTGACAGACTTTTTCTGTCGAGGGAAGAACTGGACAATCCTCACAAACCCAAGACCTGGGACATTTACAAGGAAGACTTTGGAGTGACGCTGTCTTTCACTGAGCCTTGAGTTACCTATTTAAGGTCTAACCTACTTAAAGGGATAGTTCACACAACAATTTCCTCATTGTCTTATTAGTGGTAATAAACTTTCTATCTTTTGTTGAGCACAATATGAGATAGTCTGAAGAATGTTTAAAAAAAACATATAGGAACAAAAAATGCCAATGGCTTTTTTCCAAAAACATTGTCAAACAGAAGGAAGAAATCTAGTTTAACAAGTGGAGGAAGAATAAATGATGGCAGATGGCTAAAATAAATAAAAAAAAGTATATGTGTTTGTGTAAACTATCCCTTTAAGCTATAAACTGAAGCCAAAGTAAACACTCCATGTAAACCCACAGCTATAAGATCTGAGCGAGACGTTTTGTACTTTTGTTTTCATCCAGTTGTATTTTGATGGTTGTCTTTTTGTGTTTGAAAAGAAAAAGGAATACTTAATAGAGTTTGTACTGTGGTTCTTTTTGTTTTGCATTTTTCATATGATGGCAATTAATGTTCATTAGTAAGTCCAAACATTTGAGAGCAAGATTTGACCCTAAACAACTAAAACTAAACAAAAACTTGTTAAGCTGGGAGTTTGTCATTTTGTGCTGCTAAAGTGCAGGTTTCGCTCAATATGTTCTCTTTCTCTAATGATTTAAACAGAGAAATACATTTTTATCAGAGCTGCATTATTACAACGCTTACTAAGGACTGTATTTAGTTGATAAATATTACATTAAGATGGAATTTTCACTGCCAAAATTCCAAACTGAACCAAATCTAACTGAACTTCAACTCTGAAAACTGGACTGAAACAGTTTCAATCTACTAGAACTTCCATGTTAAGCTGCTTTGGCAAAATCTACATTGTAAAAGTGCTTTACAAATAAACCTGAATGGAAGCGTATTGTGCTTTTTATATATGTATAATTTACAAAGTTAAAAATTAGTTCTAAAGTAACATTATAAATATACAGTGGTAGAGTAAGTAATGCAGTGTAAGGTATTACTGAACTAATTTTTTAGTAATCCTTTACTCTGTACATGAGTAATGTAACAATTTTGATCGAAAACGTAGTTGCGCAAAGGAAAAAAACACAGGAAGACCACAAGCTATAGGAGGAAAAGTATTACTTCTGTATGTTCCTTGTAGGATTTCCGCAGGAGTTCTGCATGTTCATTGAAAGTAACTTTCACAACACTGTAAATGTCTTTATGTTTTGATCTTTGGCTATGAATTGCTGTATTACTGCTTAACAGAAGTAATAACTTTTTTTAATCACTTAGCAAAATATTTTAGAAACCAAACTGCTAGCTAACTGAAATGAGTAAACTAAAAGAAATCTAAATAAATGTTATAGAATAATCATTACTATTGTTAAATTCCATGTGGAAACACACAAACATTTAAAATAATGATCAAACTTGCAAAATATTTCTTTATTCAATAATTACAACCTATCATATTTCATGATTTTAACATTCATTAAGATCCACAATAATTAGCAAATCATTTTCAGCAAGTGTGACAATTCAGAGTAAATCAGACGATCATAGAATCTTTGAGAACTTTTTTTTTTTTTTTTTAAATTAAAACAAACTGTGCAATGACTTGATTTTCAAGTCCACATTGTACAATTAGTTGACTCGGACTCCAGTGTGCAAACTGTAGCTCAATGCAGGAAGAGATGAACAGACAACGATCAGCTCATGAGTGACGAAAACACACAACCACAGCATTGACAATAAATGAAGCCTGAAGATGGAGGAACTGTGGTTGTTCTGAGGCAGAAACACAGCGCATGATTCAACCATGATCTCATTTCCAATCAGATAAAGCTTGTCTTTGGTTCAGCACTCTAAATGACACAAACCGTGGACCTTTTAAGTCCCACTTAAAAGTGACAGTTCACCCAAAAAATAAAAATTGTTAAGGTATGATTTATTTGATAAAACTGTGGTCTGGTGATTCAGAAAATGCAAAAATCTGCGAATGCAACCACTTTTAACATTCGAAAAAACATCCAGGCAAGCCAAAATGATTTTACATTGAATACTCAAAACAGTTTGATGAAGCTGTGAATTTAATAACATGATGTTATAAATAAGGATAATTTTCTTGATCATTTTGCTTCATGCGTATCATCTGAGCTCATTTTTTTGCTTGAATATTATTTTGAGCCTCAAACTGCTGACTTACATTTGATGAATCACCAAGAACCAAAATTTCAACAACAAAAAAATCTTCATTAATATCCTATTGATGGAAAAAGTCACCACCTTATATGACGTGATGGAGACTAAATCATCACTAAACTTTCATTTTTAAGTAAACCATCCCTTTAACCAAATACCAACGGCTTTAAATACCAACGACATGCATAGTGAGTCAGCTAACGGTTGATTTGATCACCGAAAACAAATGTAACAAACAGAACAAAGTGCTTAAAGAATCAATCAGTGTGACACCGTACAATAAGGTCCATTAGTTAAAGCACAGGTGTCAAATCCAGTTCCTAGAGGGCCGGAGCTCTGCACAGTTTAGTACCAATTCTAATTAAACACACCTGATCAAACTAATCAAGTCCTTCAGGCTTGTTTGAAACCTACAGGTAAGTGTGTTGAAGCAGGGTTGGAACCTCCATGAACTGGCGGCCCTCCATGAACTGGCTTTGACACCCGTGTTAAAGGGATAGTTCAACAAAATAAATACACATTTACTCTCTCTCAAGTGGTTCCAAACTATTAAGGCTTTCCTTTTTCTGTTGAACACAAAAGAATATATTTTGAAGAATGTTCAAACTGCACTGACGTCCATAATATAATAAACAAATACTATGAAGTCGATGTTTGCAGGTTTTCAACATTTGTCAAATACATGTTGTGTTCAACTAGTGAAAGAATCTCAAACAGGTTTGTGGTTAGTGCAGTGAGTAAATGATGACAGAAGCTTTATGTTTTGGTGAACTAGCCCTTTAATTTACTATTATTTAGTTCTCAAGCACGTTCCTGAAGGACCACCAGCTCTGCACATTTTCCATGTCCCCTTAACCAAACACTCCTGATTCAGATCATAAGCAGAGACTGAAAGACCTGAAATGGGTTTGACAGACAAAGAAGACATACAAAATATGTAGTGTTGGTGGCCCTCCATGAGCGTGGTTGAGAAACATTGATTTAATCTATTAATTTACTAACATTAACAATGAATAATACATTCATTAGCGGTTTTATTCATCTTTGTTAATGTTAGTTGTTGAAATGACTGCTCGTTGAGGCTGTACCTTCTGAATTCATGTAATGAAATACATTACTAACCTTAACTAATGGAGGCTTACTGTAAAACATGAGCTTAGATTTCTCCATTCTCCTCAGCACATGCTCTTCTTGGGTGTGTCTCCATGTAGCGGGCTGCATTGAGTCAGCAGGTCATAGCGTCCGCTGTGCAGGAAGCAGATGATGGAGGTTTTGCATGTGTCTTTGCAGGGTTTGGATACGTGGCCTTTGTGAAAGAGGTACCAGAATTGCTGGAAAATGCGATCGTCATTCACCATGTGTTTGATCAGAGCCTCCATGTCTGAAGGGAAGAGTGTGGACAGACCGTAGGCTTCGGATGCTCGATAGAGAAGTGTCCAGGATGGCCTCGGGTCTGGTTTTAAGGGCCGGTTGTTGGCCAGAGTCAGGTTAAGAATAAACGTCTCGTGATCTAGAACCATTCGGCTGCTGTCAGGGTAGTTTCCGTCCACGTAATACACACGGTATCCTGAGCATGAAGAAAACAAGTTTGTATTTTTCTTTCTTTCAATGAGGAACTTTTTTAACAGTCAAGTTTATTGAGAGGTTTAATGTATATCATGTTGTCAGCAAAGATCTTTTTTTAATAATAATTTTAATGTCACCAATGCTTAAAACCAAACAAAACACTTAAAATAAAACAATAAAACAAATGCTAACATAAACTAAACTGAAAATCAATGTTTAACAAATGAAAGAAAAACTAAATGGTAAAATTAACTAAGGGTGAAAATAAAACATGAAAATATATAAACTAAATAAATTCTTCAATAAACATTCAAATATTAAATAAAAAGATCGAATTTACTTAAAATATGAAAACATTATTACATGATGCTACATAAATGTACCTAATGCTAAACAAATAGTAAATAAGTAAGTTAAAAACAAAATGTCTTCTAAGATAATAAACTAAATCCTTAATTCTAAAAAAAAGATCAATGAAAAGCATAAGAAAATTGATATTCCTAAAGGCTAAAAACTAAAAAAAAAAAAAAACAATCAAAAAAAAAGTTAACAAAATAAATATTATTACCAAAAATGTGTTTAAATAAAGAAAAAAAGAAGAAGAAAAAGTTAAATAAAATCAAGCAGAATAACACATAAGCTAAAACAAATAAAAACAAAGTCAAAATAGGTTAAATTCACTAAGGATAAAGAAAACAATAAAACATCATAATATATAAATTAAATAAATTCTACAATACACTTTCAAAGCTATATTAAATTAATTTACTAAATAGAAGCTTTCTTGATGCTAAAAAAAATAAGCAAATGCTAAACCAATTTTGCATGCTAAAAATATCAAATGCTAAACAAGTAAAAAACAAAACGAGACTTATTTAAAAAATAAACTAAACTCCTTAAAAATGTTTTTATAAAGGATAAAGAATAGAATAAAACATCAAAATATATAAATTAAGTAAATTTTAAAATAAACATTAGAATTATAAGTAAGGTATATTAATAAGTGAATAATAAAATAAGCTACATTGCAGTTTTTTTTACAATGGCTATGACAGTTTTTTCAATACATTGAACAAGTTTTCTAAACTCTTAAAACAGTTAGCACAACATCCATCTTTCGTGGGCTATAGGCTACAATTAACACATTTCTTGTTGCTTTGACACAAAATGCATCCAGTTAACACCAATTTAAAATGCTAAAAAATGCTCATGTACTATGTAAATACTAAATAAGTAAAAAACAAAACTAAATATATTCAAAAATAATAAACTAAAATCATTAAAAACTATTTCAATAAAAAGCAATAAAAAACAGCAACCATAAATGCTAAAAAATATATATAACAAACAAACAAACCACCAAATGAACAAAACTTCCAAAAAGGTATTTAAAAAAGAAGCAAATTTTGAAATAAATAGAAAATAACACAAGGTAAAACAAATAAAAACAAATGCAATCATAATAAACTAAACTGAAAAACAATGTATAAGAAAAGGTTAAATTCACTAAGGATAAAGAAAATAATAAAACTTAAAAATATATCAATTAAGTAAATTCTAAAATAAACATTCAAATAAGCTAGATTAAAATAATTTAATAAATATAAGCTAACATTCTTACTTGATGCTAAAACAATAACCAATGCTAAACAAAAAAAATGCATGCTAACATGCAAGAAAAAAAAATGCCTAAATGTAAAAAGAAAATACTAATAAATAAGTAAAAAACAAAACTAAAATGTAATCACCTGGTAAAATAAACTAAAATCTTTTAAAACAAATAATGTTCTCTTGACGCTGAAAAAGCCTTCGTCCGAGTCGAATGGGACTTTCTTTTTGCAACTCTTAAGAAAATTTATTTAGGCCCTAAATTCATCGATATGATAAAATTGCTTTATACCAACCCTCAGGTTACTGTGATCACGAATGGCTTGAACTCAAAACTCTTTGACATAGAAAGAGGTACAAGACAGGGGTGTCCCCTTTCTCCCCTGCTCTTTGCCCTTGTGATTGAGCCACTAGCTGAATCTATAAGACAATGTCAACATCTTTTTGGAATAACAGTAGGAGACGAAGAACATCGGATTTCTTTATTTGCAGACGACGTGTTGCTGTACATTTCTGAACCAGAAAGGTCAATCCCAGCTACACTAAAATGTCTTTCAGATTATAGCAGTTTATCCGGATATAAAATTAACCTGTCTAAGTCTATAGCGCTCTCTTTCCATATTCCTAATCTAAACGATCTTTCATCCCTTTCACCCTTTAGGATAACTTCTGTAGGTTTTAAATATCTTGACATATTTATAACACCAATACTAAAGGACTTATTTAAAAAAAATAACTATGCCCCTCTTTTTGAAATTATTAAAAAAGACCTTAACATTTGGAGGACACTTCTTATTTCTTTTTTGGGTAGGATTAATGTAATCAGAATGAATATTCTCCCTAAATTTTTATCCGCTTGTTAAGTGTGACGTCATGCGAAGCGGCTTCCGGGTCCAAGCGCTCTATTCAACTGAATGGGGAGACTCATGAAATGGTAATAATAAACGTTTACAAATCGATTTAATGCTTTCGAAAATCACGATCGCAGTATAAATGCGTATGCCTAATATCCAATGACCAGAAAGTGATACATTTTTTTTATAAATTGTTAAATTTTTGGTATTTGTTTTGCAGCAAGCCCAGAGATTGTTGTGTACATTACGATTTTATATAAAATTAACTTTAATGTGTGATAGGAATAAAACATGATCATAAACGAATGATTTCTCCACTCAAATGAATGGTGGCTTGGACCCGGAAACAGTATACCACTTAACAAGCCGATATTTATTCCAATCCCTTCCTTCTCACTCACCCAATGCTGTTTTTAAGGACATTAACAAGCACCTTTCTAAATTTATCTAGAACCACAAAATGCCCAGAATTAGCCTTATCATATGAATGAATCAAAAGATAGGGGAGGTGCCGCCTTGCCAAACCTACGCCTTTACTTTTGGTCGGCACAAGCGAAGCATATGGTCAGCTGGTACAATGAAAGAACTGACTCTAGATGGCTTAACATGGAGGCAAAAGCCTGTGCTCCTCTCCCAATAAAGTCCCTGCCTTTTATTATAAATGTTAAAAAACTTGAATGTGTTTCAACTAATTTCATTATTTCAAATGCTCTTCGAACATGGAGAGACATTAAAAAGCATTTTAAAATTCCAGCTAATATCACTTTATTTTCACCTATTGCTTTTAACCCTGATTTCCCAATATCTTTCCAAAATATTGTTTTTTTCAAATTGGTCCAAATCAGGGATTCGTGCCTCTTCACAGACAGTACACTTAAATCTTTCCAAGAAATTTCATGTCAATATGATATACCACAATCCAATTTTTTTAAATACCTTCAGCTGCGTCACTTCATTAAATCTTTGTCCGATAAGGGTAAACTGAGATTTGAACTTGTACCCATAGAGCAAATTGTAACAAACAATTTTGCCAAAGGGCTAATATATCCAAAATACATAAAGTTCTGTCTAACTCATGTACTTCTTTCTTTGAGAGTTTGAAGTGTGTGTGGGAAAAAGATTTGGGTCACTAAATTGAAGATACAGATTGGTCTGAAATATGTAACAACTTGTATTCTAAATGTACTTCATTGGGTGTTCATGAGCTCAATTATAAATTCAAGAACAGAGTTTATCTTACACCCTTGCGTCTGAAAAAGATTTATAGAAACTCCTCTGATCTTTGTTTTAACTGCAAAAAAGGCAAAGGAACATTCCTTCACTGTTTCTGGTATTGTGACAAAATCATCTCTATTTGGGAGAAAATACATCATTTTCTACAAGGACTCTTTCAGATAAAATTCAGTTTTTCTCTAGAATTGTATTTGTTGTATGATGGAGTTGAGAATGTGTTGGACCCTGACACCAAACACCTGTTCTTAATTTTGGTCTATCTGGCAAAGAAATGTATACTTTTATTGTAGTCATCTCCTCAAGTGCCTTAATCCTTTAAAATGTGGTTGTCTCAAGTATGTGCGACAACCAAGAAATATGTTATTTCCACTTGAAAAACTCACTTATGATATACATCAAAAGTCAGATGACTTCTGGCAGCTATAGACACCTTTTTGGCATTACATCAATAATCTCTTCTGATTTTCTACTCTCTGGTGTATATGCATGTATGTAGGGGTGTATGTATGTGTATATATGCGTATGTATGTATGTATGTATGTATGTATGTATGTATGTATGTATGTATATATATATATATATATATGTATATATATATATATATATATATATATATATATATATAGATATATATATTACTCCTAGCCTGACTCCATTACCATGTTTACTTATTTGTATATTTTTCCCCCTTTTATAATTTTTTTTTACTTTCCCACTGTATGACTGAGACTGTATTTGTATGTGCTGATGTATCGAAATAACCGACGACTAATAAAAAAATAAAATAAATAAATAAAACAAACAATGAAAAAAAATCTATATACCTAAATGGTAAAAACTATATAACTGACAAAACATATAATTAATGACCAAATTAAGCAAACAATATTACTACAACTACATTTAATTAAAAAAAAAGAAATAATATAAAATTAGTTAAAATATTAGCAGTTAAATTAGCAGTTAAAATAAAATAAGATTTAGACTAAAACAAACACGTGTATATATAAGTGTTGTTTGTTGAGTGAGCACCTGGGTTGAGGTTGACAAAAGTAGTGACACTCGGAGCAATGAAAGCCACACTCAGTGGACGGGTCAATGTTTCTTCATCATAAAACATCTGAAACTCATCCGTGTGTGTGTGTCCAAAAAACTGACCGGTTATAGTGCTTTCATACCTGCGAAACAAAACACAACGATAAAAGAAATAAAGAGAACAAAACACAAGTGAACCATTAACCAGTGCATTATATACCCTTACCAGTACATACGGTAAATGAACGGGACAATCTCAAAAACAAGCAGTTACAGTAAACATGACCCATTTAAAAAAAAAAAACTATATGACCCTTCTGGTGATAAAAGACTGTTTATAATGCTTTAAGAGTGCAGTCACGCATTTTTGTTGACACAGCTATGGGTTTAAGAGATGAAAGTTAACTTAACAGCATGATATAAAGAGCTGATAGAAAACTGACTGACTGACTGACTGACCTGTTGACTATATGATAGTAATTCCAACTCCAACTGCTCAGACAGAAACCGGGAGGAATGTGACCAATGATGTGGACCTGAGACACAGACAGACACACAGACAGGCAGACAGAGACAGCTTAGACAAAACCCAAATGGGAAAAAAAAACAGACTAAAATTAAAAGCAAAATGAACAAAAATAAACTAAAAACAAAAATGCAAAAACGATAAAAGTAAATAAAACCACAAACAAAAATTACAAAAAAAAAAGAAGAAAATAAGAAAAAAAATGCTCATTTAAAAACAGAAAATGTACAGGTAAAACAAAAACTGCAAATAGCAAAACAAACCTATAAAAATAAAGGACAGAAAAAAAACAATAAAAATAAAAAACTGAAACAAAACACCCAAACAAAACAAAGCCCTATATACAAAAAATACAAATAAAATAAAACCAAACAAATTAAAAAAGTATTGTAAACAAAAATAGCAGCATAAACCACAAAATGAAACAAACCACAAAAATAAAACAACAAGCGAAATTGACAAAAGACAAATATAAAACAATGACATACAAAAAATCTACCAAAAAATGCAAATCAAACTAAAAACAAATATAATGATAAAATCAAAATGTAAACAAAATCAAAAAAGTGCTGCAAAGAAATAACAAAACTAAAAACAATTTTTTACAAAAAAAAAACAGAAAAAAATTTAAATAATCAAGTAACAAAAAATGCTAATAAAAAAATAAATAAATAATAAAATTTAAATTCAAACAAAAATACAACATAAATTAATTAAACTCAAACCACAAAAAATAATAAAATAAGCTACATATAAATAATAATAAAAAAATCAAAAACTGCAAATCAAAGTTACAGTTTTTCTTAGCTGTTTACACACAATTACTTGTACTACAGACACAATTTCTACAACATGCACCAACCCCCTGAACCAGTTCTGCTAAACTACAAGCACAATTCCTGCTTTACACTCAAATTGCAGGTTTACAACACACTTTTTTCAAAACGCTACACACAATTCTCTGCATTTTGCACAATTTTCAAGCACACAATCTTTTGTTTTCACAAGGAACACACTGTCATTCACAATTGTAAAGTCATTTGCCCTACTTTCCATACCAACTCATCACATGAGTAAACACCTGTCACACAGAATTGCAATTTAGAAATCAGAGCTCATCTGGTTCATAACTGGTTCACTTCCCACCCACAATTTTTAGTTGTTTATCTCCCTCCATATTCTCCATTCCTCAAACCAATTGAGGAATTGTTTTTCTGCCTGGAGATGGAAAGTGTATGACCGAAATCCACACACACGTGTACCCTTTCTCCAAGCTATAGCAGTTGATGCTTTTCATGGCTGGATTAGCCATGCAAGGTGACATTTTCCCCGCTGCTTGGCCAGTCCAAAACAGAAAAGAGGATGCAGTATAGCTGTTTATATATATATATATAATTTTTTTTTTACTATGACTGTATTCTGTACATACTTCTGTTGATGGCATATGTAGACCATGTTATCTGCAACTTTGTGTTGGTTGGGATGAACACTGTGTACACTGTTTTTGTGGGAAAATACAGTAAAATATATTTGGTATTTGTGTGTTTTGTATAAAAACAATACTCTGAAATATTTTACAACAGACTTCTGTAGGCCTATTTACTGCCTGTAGTAAGTGTAACACTGAACGAAAAATGCTGACAGTAAGTCATTATGATAAATGGAGAAGTGGTCATAGTGTTTTACATTCAGCACATCAGTGTTCAACTGATCTTATAATTGTCTATTCATGTGATGGTTTGTGTGTGTCATTTGAAAACAGAAGACCATTTTGAGAAGAAATCATATTGTTTTGAACGTAGAGCTTCATTTTGCAGGAGAATTGAAGGGTTTTGCCTATTGTGTGTGTGTTTTGTGATTTGTGTGTAGAGTTCTGACAATATGAGACCTGCTTACAGAAAATGTGTGTAAACAATTGGAAAAAAAACTGTAAATTGAATAATAATAATAATAATGATGCAAAAACAAAAAGAAAATGCATCGCAAACAAAACCAACAAAATATACATAAAAATATATATCGAAAAAAAAAAATTAAACCACAGAAAAAAATCTAAATAAACATGTAAAACAAAAAAATGTTTGAAATAAAAAATAATGCAAAAATTTTAATTTAAATAAAAATACAACATACAATACAATATATATTTAAACCACAGAAAAACACTACAATTAAGCCACACATTAAACAAGTAAAAACGCAGCAAATCCAAATATTTAATTGAATAATAAAATAAAATGTAAACAAATCAAAAGTGCTACAAAAATAAATAAAACAACAAACTAAATTTACAAAGAGAAAAAAAAACAAACAAACAAAAAAACCTACAAAAACTAAAAACACAAAATAATGCTAATAAAAATATGAATTAAAAAATGTGTTTGTGCTACAATGTGCGACAAAAAACTAAACTAAATGCTAAACGCCTAAAAAAAACTAAATGCAAAAAAAAAAAAAAACAATTAACCTTAAATCTTAATTTTAAATCAAAAATATAAAATAAACCACAAAAAAATCCTTGATGTTTGTGGAGGGAAAAAACATGGAATGTGGTTCCTCATTCAGTGGTAGAAGCTGTAGGGAAACTCCAGCATGACATTAGCATGTGATGCATACTATCAAAATAGCAACAGAAGTGCAAAAACAAAACTGCAAGAGTCAAACTGAAAAGCTGAACATGCAACAACCAAGAGTCACACATCTGCTTTACCGGCTCCAACCCTTTAAACCCCTCCAACCCACAAACACCAACACTACTGCTGCAATACACCATGGCTTATTGATCACATTTCTCTGTTTTCTGATGATGCATCTCTGATTTCTCACCTTCTCTCCCTTGTTCTCGGACTCCTGCAGGATTTGTATGAGCCACTGTAGCTGATCTGCTGGGTCAGTGGAGTTCACCATCAGCCAGTAGTTTTCTCTGGAGCAAAAGTTCATGTTCAGAGACACAAGCCTCAATCCAGGCTCAACCTCCACGCTGTAGAAACCACCACGGCTGCAAAACACACATTACACAAATGATAATTAAACTAATCAATCATAATATTGGCATTAATTATTTAGATCCGGCAGGTATTATCACAAAAATTAATACATAACTATATCAAAACAAAACTATACCATCATTATCAATAGTATAAAAAATAAATAAATAATTAAATAATAATAATGATGATGATAATAATAATAATGGTCATAAGAATTAATATTTTTGTTATTATTATTAAATATAAAAAAGAAAATTTGTATTAAAGAAAATAATTTCCTGAACTGCAATAATAATAAGTACATTGTAAATATAGAAATTAGTAAAAAAAACAAAATTTCTTAAACTGTTATAATAATAATATTAATAATAATAAATTAATAATAAATTAAAATAACAAACCGTCATATCATTTAACACCTTGTAGCTACATCAGCTACTCTTTGTGGCAAAACGATTAGTAAATAATACAAATATAAATCAATACAATAAAACAATTTGGGCAGACAAACAAGCAAATAAGTTGTATAAAATAAACTTGTAAATACAGAAATATTAGTAGTAAACAAAAGTTCTAAAACTAATAATAATGTTAACAACAACAAAACAACAACAATAATAATAATATACTACATCTAAATTTTTCAAATGATTTCACATGATTTTTTTTACAATTATTTATAATAAAATGATAACTGTTAATAATAATTAATTAACAAATAATTAATTCAAAAATCTTTATTATTGATATTCAATTTTCTTGCTGTGTTGTAAATACACATTTCATTTTTACGCAGAAAAACAAGTACATTTAATTGTATTTTAACATCAGAGATGCAGAGAAATCTGCATGCAGACAAAATTACTGATTACAGAGAAACAATAATGATATATCATAATAACAAATATGATACTTCAATATATAATAATTAATTTAATGTAAATATTAACAATTTATTAGTTAAATAATAATAACATCAATAATAGTATAATTAGTGTTGTTATTATCATTATCATTATTAGTGTTGTTGTTTTTATTATTATTATTAATATTATTATTATTACTAGTGTTATTATTATTATCATGTTTATTACTGGTGTTTTTATTATTATTATTACTTGTGCTATTATTATTATTATTATTATTATTATTATTACTATTATTGTGTTATTATTATTATTATTATTATTATTATTATTATTACTACTAGTGTTATTATTATTATTAATATTATTATTAGTACTATTGTTATTACTATTATTATCACTAGTGTTAATATTCTATTCTATTCTATTTACAGCTTTACCGTATGGTCTCCAGGGCTTCCTCAGGCAGCCAGGGTGCCCACTCCTTCGCCATGGTCTCATAAAGCCAACGGGACGAATGATTTCCATGCACAAACGGAGGAGGAAAACTATTGACCGGCGTGCTCTCGTGATTTCCCACCGCTGGATACACTGTAACATTTCGCCCCAAGTGTTTGTGTATGAGTCTGCTGATGGTGACCAGCTCATTCAGCTGCTGGTTCCGCGTTTGAGACCACACATTATGCGCAGGAATATCCCCTGTCCAATAAACCCAATCCCACGGGCCTGATTTAGCCACATTCTCCAGGAGATTCTCCACCGTGCGCAAAGGCAGGTCACACTTGCTATACGTCCCCCAATATCCTGCCCCAGCGTGCCTCCAACTGGCTCTTCCAGAGTCATTTCGGCAACACAGAGGCTTGTTACACTCCGCAAGGCTGCCCTCAGTGTACTCTGCGTCCCAATGGATGTCTGTGAGGAACAGGATCCTGCTGCGTGGAGAGCCTGGTTTGGGTGGAGAAGGCGGCTTGACTGGCGGTTTGGGGATTTGTGGTAAGGAAACGTTCCAGGGGGCGTAAATGTCGAAATGGCCACACGAAGGTCCAACCAAGACAGCACAGGCCTCTGTAGGCCAGAGAAAAGACTCCTGGAGGGCTCGGATGACATCAGCACGGAAGAGTGCGGTGATGTCACGACACACATCCGGATTGGCCAGGTGAAGACGGACACACACCTCTCCTAAAGCTCGAGACACTCGCTCCATGTTTGAGTCACTCTGGAAACAGACGACACAGACACAGTTTAATAAGTTGACCTTGTGACCTTGTGTTTAATATATTATTTCAGTAAGGTTTAGATATTCTAATGAGTCATGAAACCATAGTATACAAAAAAAACTCCAGACACACCTCATCACTGTTACCCTGATGAAGGCAAGTGTTTGCCGAAATGTGTAAGTGTAGTTTTAAGCAATAGCCATGTCAATGAAAGCGTTTTAATATTTTCACATTTTTCGAGTGCCTTGGACTGATTTTTGCTCTTTTTTCAGATAAATCCCCTGCCCAAAGAACCCAGACACACTATTTAAGGTACCCCTGAGCACTTTTTAAATGATTTTGGATGGTTTAATAACAGTTAGCACCAAAAAAAGGTCTTATTTCAACATATTATTTCTTATTTTTAACTTATTTCAAGAGATAGTTCACCCAAAATAAAAAAAAACTACATTTTACTCACCCTCAAACATTTAATAGTTTCTTTTTTTCTGTTTTACACAAAATAATAAATTTTGAAGAAAGTAGAAAACCGGTAACCATTGACTTCATAGTAGGAAAAATAAATACTATACGAGTCGATGGTTACAGGTTTTTAGCTTTCTTCATAACATCTTTCTTTTGTGTTTGACAGAATAAATCAATTCAAACATGTTTGGAGCAAGACGTGAAGTTCTGATGACAGAAATGAACTTTTTTGGGGGGTGAACTGTCTCTTTAAGAGCATGAGAAAATGAACTTGTTAAATGTTTTGCTTTTGATAGCAGCAGTTTAACAAGTCGTTTGTGCTGGTGTTTGTGGCTTGGAGGTGTTTGGGACATCATGAGTCAGATCGGCTAGAAGAGGATGTGTGATGGCTGGTTTTTATATGTTTAGTTTCAGTCATTAGGTGTTTTAGTTTATGCATTTAAAACAGATATAAAATGTATAAATAAATAATATAAATGGATATACATGTAAATTATATTTAGTAAATGTAACAACAGCAGCACACAATTATAATGGGATAAAATAGATATACATATTTGTACTGTAGTATTTGCATGGCTGTTTGAAATCATAGTTGGTTTATCTACAATAAAGTAAATACAAATTGTACATGCAATACAAAGAATGTAAAATAACTAGCTAGAAACTTCAAATGTATATCAAAATCAAGATGGCACAACATGAATATATAAAATGTATTACATCATAATACAACATATATAAAACGCATATCTACAGTAAATACATTTTAAAAAACTATACGTCATGGTATATCTATAAATCAAAATGTACATTAAAAGAAAAAAGTTTAATTAGTTTCTACATCTATACAGAACACATATAAACATGCACACTATAAAGAATATTATGGAACACCATCCCACCAACAATCAGAAGATTACATACATTTCCTTCTTTTCAGTTTCATGTGAAAAATTGGTTATTGACAATGACAACTCAGCAATGTCAACATTAGTACTGTACTCTTGACAGTAGACCTACTGATTGTTTTGTCTATGTTGTCCTATTGTTGTTGTTTTATTCTCCTTTTTTGTTTCTCTGGTTTATTATTTGTGTTTGTATATTTTACATATGTGGCAGTGTATTTATGCTGTTTCTATTTGCAGGTGTGACTTTATAACATTCTGTTAAGGGTCTGAAGAAGAAAAACAGCCATTCTTGGCTAATTCTGGAACACTTTAGAGTAAATATAAACATTATAAAAGAATGTTATGGAACTTCATCCCACCAACAATTAGAAGATTACATACTTTTTAGTTTTATGTGAAAAATTGGTTATTGATAACTTATCAGTGTCAACATTAGTACTGTACTATTGACAGTAGATCCACTTGTGCTGTTTGTTCTTGACTATGATATCCTCTCCATCTGCCATTGTTGTTTTATACTCCTTTCTTGTTCCCCTTGATTCTTACTTGTGTTTATAGTGTTCACTATTTTATATATGATAGTGTATTTTGTGTTATTATGCTATTTCTATTTGTAGATGTGACTTTTTTACACTCTTTCAAATGTCTGAAGACAAAAAAACAACCATTCTTGCAACATTGCAGTAATGTCTATTGTATCAAATGTTTATTGTCAGTCATATATGTACTGTTTATTAATGTAATGTTAATTGTGCATTGACCCTGTACACAACTAAACTATTTTCAGTAAAGTTGGTTTTATATTTGTAAACTGCAGTCTATATACTTCACTTTCGATTTTCAAAATACAAACTAAGAAGCATTTATTACTCTCTCACACAAACAATTAAAAATGCGCCAGGAAGACTTAAAACACCAAGCACCATCATGGAGGGAAGTACAGTAGCAGATCTCACCAGCAGCGCGATGTCGACAGAGGCGAAGATCGCTTTACACAGCACGCAGGACAAGTTTCTCCATCCGAAACCGAGCTTCAACCGGTCCAGCTCCTCCACGACCCTCAGCTGAGGCACATCTGTTCCTCCTTCAAGAGGGTAGGAGAAACACAAAGGCCCAAAAAACAAGGTCCAGAGTAAGAAAACTGTCAACTCGTACACCGGACGCTTCATCTCGACGGCGCGCTTAGGTACTTTCAGACCCCCGTCTCTACATCCCCGTCGACCCGCACAGGAAAACAGAGCCTGTGGATAAGGAGTCACGCGTGAACTGTGTGTGTAAATAAAACAGCAATGAGAACAAGGTGACTTCGCGTTTTGTTTATTGGCAGTTGCGAATAATGAAGAGTCTGTCCTCACGCTGTACCGCGTCCCGGGCGACCGGACGAGTTTACATATAGCGTCAGCTGATTGATCACGTGACATGCTGACAAAGCATCTGACGAATCACGTGCTCTGCTGCTTTGTAAACATTAAAATGACAACAGAGACTTTTGATGAGTCACAATTATACTAATATTTTAGCTATAATACTTTTGACATTCTAAAATAAGAACATTACTGCACTGGACAATGACGTGACGCCCTTTTATAGTCTATTAGATTGTTAAAATAAATCTGAAATTAATATATAGATGAAAAAAATTAAGCCCTCGCATTAAGTTGTAACTTTCAAATAACAAAGATTATTCAAATAACACACTTTTTAAATATTTTTAATAACTTACTTAATTCTTAATTCTAAGAGTGCTGACAATATTCACATTAGCAGTGTTTTACATAAAAAAAACACTCTCTCCTAAGACTGCTGCCCCCCACGACCCGGCCATGGAAAAGCAGATGAAAATGAAATAAAATTAAATGAAAAATTAAATGAAAGTATTATTAATGTACAATAATTTCCCCCATAAATTCAGTTATTATTTAATTTAGTCAAATTTCCCATTTATTTTTCTAGATTGCAGTTATCCATTTTACACATTATTCTTTTTTTACACTTTTGGGAACTTAAAAAAAAACATTATCAAATAATTTTATCCCTATTATACTAAAACATGGAAAAACTTAATTATAATAAATTATATAGAAATGATTACAGTACAACAGTAAACATTTAAATTTTTTACATTCAGACAAATTATGAAAAACTCACAGTCCTACGTTTAATTTATTCATCCAAAATTTTTCAAAACACTGATATTCTGCATTATACAATAAAATCCATTTTCATGACAGAATTTCACAATTCTGCTTTCCATCTCATGACTAAACAAATGAACCGACTGAAACTCTCAGCATGGCCAAAACATTTTTATTTTGTTCTTATTTTCCTTTAGTAAACTTTAGTTATCAGGAATAAAATATAAACAGCCCAAATCTCCAAAATAAAGACTGAAGAAAAGCCACATGAACGTTCATTAAAAACCTCACAGGGTCAGAAAACGGAGCATAAGTTAGAAAATCAGTCTGTTTGTCTTCTTTTCAAAACGCAAAAAGAAACACTGTGAAATAATAATAATTAAAACAAAAAGATACAATTATGCATGTCAAGTATGCTTGTTTTCGTCTCTTGGTTTCCTATTGCATACTGGCAAATTGAAAAGAGGAACACTGAGAGCAGAAGGAAGTAAATAGATGTAGTGTTCAGAAAAGCAAAAGTGCTCATGGGCTGCAGAACGAACCACCCATGAAACAAAAAAAAACACATATATATGTATACAGTATAAAAATCTCTCAGACGTTTCAGCACATGACATGCTTGACATGTACAATGAGGAGCGGGATGCGTGTTAGTTACAAAACAGAAATCATGCATGAATCTAAATCAATTTATGGGATGCGAAAACTGACCCATGATATATGTGGCACATGACTTCTCACATTTAATGTGATGTGTGTAAATGTCTCCTTTATTTTTTTGCATTTACGGTACCTAATCTAATGTAACGGGTGTTCATAACATGAATCTCCTTGCTATGAAAGGGACAATACAATCATGATATTCTGGGCACTTCTTATTTTGGTTATTAATTAATTTTTTTACATGACAAGGCATAAAATGGCATTAGCTTATGCATTATTGCACTGTTTTATATATTTTTTAATGCAAATAAATCTGACTTTTGCAATCAGGAACAATCTGCAACTGTAAATGCAATGGCAGGATGCTTTAAATACTAATAACGGACACATCAACTAATAAAAGGACTCCTTTGAAAAAGCAAAGTGGACAGAAATGGCGAAAAGATGCGGATGTTTGGAGTGGTTAGCTGACATTATATTTACTGTACATTCACTGCCGCCACTTCCTGTTTAATGGCTATAGAAAAGAGGTTTTGAGAGGAGTGTTTCTCTGTAAACGCTCCTGAGAGCACGTAAAGGCTGATGAACACACAAACACGCGCACCATTTTCAATGATTGCATATAAGAATATAGAGGATAGTGAGAACGTGGCTTTTTAAAAATGTTCAACAGCACTTCCACAAAGCGTTCTTTCTTTCTGTAGCAGAGGACTTACAGTGGCATAGAGCACTTTGGTGAGTGGTGAAATTTAAAGAGACAGTTCACTCAAAAATAAAACCTCAATTATCATTTACTTACCTAGAGAAGATATTTTGAAGAATGTTGGAAATTCGTAGCCAATTACTTCCATGGTATTTGTTTTTCCCTACTATGGAAGTCAATGGCTGCCGGCTTCCAACATTCTTCAAAAGACCTTCTTTCTTTACCTAAATCTGTTAGGTAATATTGTGTTTGTGTTCATTTTTGAGCGAGCTTTCTCTTTAAGGCAATACTGTGAAGTCAGTGTTGTGCAGTGTGGTTATTTGTCTTGCATCTTCTCCAGAATGGGCACGATCATGTCGAATTTGGGCCTCTTTGCAGGGTCTTCGTTCATGCAGATCTTCATGAGTTTGCAGATGTGAGGGGAGATGCCGGGTGGGATGGTGGGCCGTAGTCCCTCTAGCGCCACCTGGTGGGCACAGAAGAGATAAGGTTTGTTTGATTTTGGTCCAGTTCTTTAAAGTCAGGTGTGTGTGTGTGATGGTATGTGTCTGACCTTCATGCCGATCTCCATGTTTGAGAGGTCAGCAAACGGCACTTCTCTGCTCACCAGCTCCCAGAGCAGCACGGCGTAGCTCCACATGTCAGCTGAGCGCCGGTTAATCTCCTCTGGCTTCTTCTGCAGAGCTGAGAACAGAGGTAGAAGGAGATTAAGAATGTGTCGGCTGATTAAAACATTAAATGTTAAATTTAATGAAAAATTAAAATTAAATATTTTTAAATTATAATAAAACTATATTTTTAAATAAAAATTATTTTATTTAAAAAAAATTAAAACCTAAAAAATAAATGTGAGAAGAGGTTATTGTGTTAACTGATCAAAACTCAGTTTTTATATATATAAAATGATAAAAAAAACAAATATAAGATGGCACCGATGAAGAACAGTAAAAAAAAATTAATAAAATAAAATAAATTAAAATAAATAAAATCTACCGCATCATGTAATTATTATATATATACACATTATATTATAATATATAAAATATATACATAATATAAAAAAATTGATACCTTCAGGTGCCACCCATTTGGGAAAAATAAAATAGAATAAAAATAAATAAAATAAAATAAATTAAAATAATAAAATAAATATTTAATTAAATTAAATATACCTTCAGGTGCCACCCATGCAGGAGAGTACATCCTGCCAGGACACTGAAATGACAACTTTACATCTGCCATGCTTATCCTGGCCGTCATGTCCTCGTCAATCTGATCAATTAATCAAAAAATAAGTACATTTGTAAATAAGTATTTGTTTTAATGTAAAAAAAAAAACAGCATACTAAAATTAAAACATTAAATTTAACAAGGATGCATTAAATTACCAAATGGCATATAAGCCCGGTTTCACAGACAGGGCTTAGACTATAGCCAGGATTAGGCCATAGTTTAATTAGGACATTTCATTTTTTTTTATAAACATGTTGGCAACTGGTGTGCATCTTGAGACAAAACAAAGGCACTGATATATTTAAAAATCAATCAGTGCAATTTTATTTCAGTTGAAACAGCTCAGACTGACATTTTAGTCTAAGACTAGGCTTAAGCCTTGTCTGTGAAACTGGGGGAAAATGTATAAAAAGTGACAGGTAATATATATGTAAATGTATATTAAATCTCAAAATACATTTCAAACAATTACTCTTGCTATTTAAAGAAAATATATATATATTTATCATGATTTGCATAAATATATAAAGCAGCAAATCAAACATGCTTATGAACATAATAAAGTATTTATATATCATAATAATATATATTTTCTTGAGAAAAAATCTGCATATTACAATAATTTCTAAAGGATCATGTGATACCAAAGACTGCACTAATGATGCTTTGATTTACAGGAATAAACTACATTTTAAAACACATTTACATTCACAATGTATTCACAAAACGGTTATCTTAAATCATAATATTTCCCAGCATTGCTGTTTTTATGGCAGTTTTGATCAAATAAACAAGGCCTCTAAAAGCCAAAACTGTACTTTTACTATACTTCTGACAGGATGCACACAAATCTGTTTATAGAAAGTTTCTGTTACAGCAAATCAATTCCACATACCATGACAGCACAAACAAACATTGGACTTGTGTTTTGCAAATGCTGGTCTACAATGAGTAACTCATGTCCATAGTAATGAATCTAAAGCAAAGATCTTGATGAAACGGAAACTGAGACTGTGGAAAAAAGCAGTTGTAGAAACTGGGAGTTTTCTGTTCCTCACCATGACACTCTTGCTGTTGAGATAATGGCGGGGGATCATGGGCTCAAGAGTGTGTAGGAAAGCCATTCCACAGGCAATGTCCAGAGCAAATTTCACAGCCTGGTTTTGATCCACTACTAAGTCTATATGAGCAAGAGAAAAAGAGGGAAATAGAGAAAAGACATTCAGTAAATAAATAAATAAACAAAAAATTTGCGTTAACAGCTTTGTTTCCCATTAAATAAGAAAATCTAATTGAACATAAACGGCATTAAAGACATAAAAAATGTTGTCTAATACTGAATAATTTATTTTTATAGATTTTAGTAAAACATTCAAGAGAAAAAAAATCTGAGAATTTACACGAATAACCTCACTTGAATAAACATATTTTATTAAATCATTTAATTTATGACTTTTTTTTTGTTATTTCAATAATTTATGATTAGTTATAAACTCCAAACATTAATACTAAAAAATAGTTTCAATCACCTTTGAAACATTAATTAAACGATAAGCAAAAAATAATCCTATTAAAATACTGAAATACAGTTAACCAATACAAGTAAATAAAAATAGGGCAAATAATAATAAAAAAAAGGTTTATTATGAAGAACTAAAATCATTGTACCATTGCATTCCCTTACTTACAGATTAACCTATTTGGTCCCAAAAATATATGAGATGGAAAAATAAAGTAAAAATATATATTTTCCTTACGTCTAAATGTACTTCCTTCATACCCGAGTTCGAAAACAGCTCAAATCAATCAAATCAAAATTAAATAAATTGTTTAGGTCTCTTAAAAAAACAAACAAAACAAATAACAAAATAATAATAATAGTAAAATCTGTGGGAAAGAAAATATATATTTATGATAATTTCTAAAAATTTGTAATTATTCATAAAATAAATTATGTATATTGTAAAGTTCTTAAAGTAAAAAAATTAGGAAACCTTAAGAGTATTTAAATAAAAGTAATAAACAAATAATAATTTATATACAATTGAAGTCAGAATTATTGGCCCCGCTGTTTATTTTCCCCCCAATCTCTGTTTAATCAAACTTTTTTTTTAACACATTTCTAAACATAATAGTTTTAATAACTCATTTCTAAAAACTGATTTATTTTACCTTTGCCATGATGACAGTAAATAATATTTTACTAGATATTTTTCAAGGCACTACTATACAGCTTAAAGTGACATTTAAAGGCTTAACTAGATTAATTAGGGTAACTAGGCAGGTTAGGGTAATTAGGGAAATCATTGTTTAAAGATGGTTTGTTCTGTACAAAAAATATAGCTTGAAGGGGCTAATAATTTTGACCTTAAATTGTTTTCTAAAAAAATTAAAACTGCTTTTATTCTGGCTGAAATAGAACAAATAAGACTTTCTCCAGAAGAAAAATATTATCAGACATAGTGTGAAAATTTCCTTGATCTGTTAAACATCATTTAAGAAACATTTAAAAAAGAAAGCAAAATTCAAGGGGGAGCATATAATTCTGACTTCAACTGTATATATTCCTAAAGAAAGTAAGTATTTTTTTTAAGTCAAGGAAAAATAAACAATAATAATACTAAAAGTAGCTTTTTTTAAACACATTTCTTCTGGCTCAAAATGTGATGTTCAACATTCAACATTGAAATCAAACAGACAAACAGTGTGTGTTTTACTCACTGGTGCCCTCATGCAGCAAGTTGTAGAGGGAACCGTAGGGCATAGAGTGTGTGATGATGATTGGGTGAGGGGCAGGTGGAGACTGACACGCCCCCAACACGGGCAACACGTTTGGGTGAGAGAAGATTCTACAGCAGGTGGAGAGTGACAAATGAACACACAGACAAAAGACCACCGACACAATGGACACAACTGACAGATGACAGACCACAAATGTCCTTTACTCACTGAAAATTTAAACTTGTTCAAAATTGTTACGAGTTTATATCTTCTGTTCAACACAATATAAGTTACTTTGAAAAATGTTTATTGATGTTACCCATTGACTTCCATAGAAATTTTTTCCTACTATGGAAGTTAATGGGTACCATCAACCAACATTTTTCTAAATATCTTCTTTTGTATTCAACTGAACAAAAAACTCATGAAAAATTAAAAATCACATGAAGGAGATTAAAATGAGACGATTTTAATTTTTGGGTGAACTATCCCTTTAAATACTTCACAGACTTTTTGAGGCATGACATTTGAGTATCAGCACTTTACATTTTGATTAAATATGTTCTGCTCTGACTGTTGGAAACTATTTATTACGGCAAGATGGACAACACTGTTTTAAAAAATCTGTTTGCAGTTTTTTTATTAATGTCTTATGACAATGTTCGCAACACATTACAAAACGGAGTCTTCAAGCAGCGAGATGTAATTAAATGTAAATTAAGAGATGCTGTATTTTACCAAGAGACTCAAAGTTTGTTTCAAGATGTCAGTGGGTCAGTGTGACACTAGAACCAAGCTGTTCCTCAATCATCTGCCACAATTTTGTATTCTATATATAATCTGTATCTTCGTATTCTGTTTATCATAAACTACAATGTGCGGCTTCGGTTTTTGCCGTTTGCTTGAACAGTGGCTCTTAAATACCTCTCAAAATCAGGTTTTGTTTGGCCCTGCTCATCACAGTTTAAGCTTTTGGAGTCTCAAAATATGTTTTGTTGTTTGCAAAGTAAATAGCATGCTTGCTATTGTAAGCCCACACATTGTTAAAACAGCAATTTCAATATTTTCATAGACGATAAATACCGCACGCACTTAAATGTCAAAGAAATTTGATTGTTTACATAAGTCATGTCTATTCAACAAATAAGTTGATGTAATTCACAAAAGCAGTAATACTGATTTTTAACGATCTGGTTAGAATAGTTCAACTAATTAAACTGTGCCATGTTTGTCACACAAAGCCACTGTGTGATTTAGAAGACTGAATATTCTGCAAATGGCCACAAAGGAACTTTTATGGTGTTTTTTGCGGCCTTTTTGAACTTTGTAAGCTTCAGTATTTATTCAAGTGTGACTTTGACCTTCTGAGTTCTGTTTGTGTTCCACAGAATAAAGTCTGAAAATCTGAAACTTCAAAGTATCAATGAAACATTACTATATAGTTAATATTTTAACTAAAATATTTCATTGAACCTTAAGTAGTCCACTATTGTTTTTTCATTTTTGTTTTTAGCGCATTCATTTATATATATATATATATATATATATATATATATATATATATATATATATATATATAAACTGTTCTTATTTATTTATTTATAAGTAAAAAGTTTGAAAGTAGGAATATACAATATGAAGGTTTTTGACTTATAAATGAATAAAATTATTTTAAAAGAAATTTCACAAATTATTTTAAAGAAATTTAACCAGAAGAAAAAAACAACTGTGAACATTATTATTGATATCATGTAATAATTAATAATACTATTATTACAAAAATACACATTACAAAGTTACTATATTTATATGTGAAATTTGGAATAAATATTATCAGATCTTTATCAATAAAACAAATATTAACTTTTACTTAAATAACTAATAAAAACTGAGAATTTTCAAATGATCTCTTCATTTTTTTCCAAATCTAAATATTCATGTATTACAGTTAGAGAAGAAAAAAAAGTACATTAAAACAACTGCAAAGCCCAAAAACAGACAATGATTTGTCATTATCGCAATAACTAGCAGCCAAATGTGATAAATGTGCCCTTTTTAACATTTTTTAAAGATATTATAATATACTTTATTACTATTATTATCTTTATAACAAATTAATTAAAACAATATTATCATTTAAAAATGATTTATATTATTCATATAAATATTGATTTAAATATAATAAAAATAATATTATAATATAATAACTGTGGTTCTGTATGTCATTCATTATTTTACACATTTTGAGGGAAACTGTCTTTTTAATTTGTGTAATGTGACCACACAGGACTATTGGTTCTTCACCTTAGTTTAGGGTACTCCTCATTAAAGTCTCGGCTCTTTCTGGTGGTCCATTCCCGCACATGCAGCATCTTGACCACAATCTCTGTGCCCTGCCAGCGGCCCTTCCACAGCTGCCAGAGAGCGATTGAGAAAGAGAGAAAGCAGAGGCATCAGTGTTTCCGTCATCAGCACTCTCAGACTTGGCCAGGATACTTATTAAAGTTTGCTTTGGTTTGGTAAATGAGCTCACCTCGCCGGAGTGGTTCTCGTTGATCTTGTTCAGCATGTTAAGCTGCTTATAATCTATGCCAGCTTGCTTGTTTAGTGTGCCATTACCTGCAGGAAAAAAAATAATGTTAAAAAAACATAGCAACAAACCTTAGTTAATAAGATAAGGCAATATACAACTGAAGACTAAATTATTAATTCTGTGAATTTTTCATTATTTTTCATTTTAGTTTTTTTCTTTTGGGAAAAAAGTCTTTTATTTTTTTCATTTTTGGCTGAAATTCAAAAAATAATATTCACAAATATAAAAAACTTTATGGTAAATATTGTAAGCCCCAAAATAATTAGTATTTTTTGATAGGCTACAGAATAAAGTGCTGTTTTACAATAACTTGCCTAATTAAACTAACTTGCCTTAACCTATTTAACACAGTTAAGTATCTGGCGAAACACTAGTATATATACAGTAAATACAAGTAAAATATTATGTACAGTCAGCAAAGTTACTAGAAAATAGCCATTAAAACTGTAAAAATATATCTTAGACCCTGCTTGTTAAACATCAATTGGGAAAGATAATTTATTTAACAGGAGGGCAAGCATTTATTTTTGTCTTTAACTGTATATGTGGCCATTCAACAAAACTAGTGCAAGAAAATAAATAAATAAAATAATAATAATTCAAAAACACTTACACTACAGTAAACAAACTGTAGATATTTACGAATACACAATAATATTTCATTTAGCATTAAGTTCAATATAAAATTATTTTTAATTAAATAATAAGTTTTTATAATTATTGTGTAATATATTGTGTACATGTGTATATATATAAAATATAAATAATTTTTTAAAAATTATTATTGGAAATTGACATCCATACATATATCTATACATTTTTATAAGTATTATTATTTGCATTTGTTGTTTTATAAAAAAAGTCTTTACAACAAGGTTAATTTTTTTTCATTTTATTATTTTTTATTAATACGAATAGAGTAATATTTAATAAAATAAAGCATTAGTAGTGTAATTTAGCCCTGACAAATTAAATATTGTGGTCACTTTTAAAACACTGCCATCATTTTTGAACTTGAATGGGATGTTACAAATTTGAAAATAATTTTGTTTCACAAAAAAAAATATGTGTGTGTGTGTGTGTGTGTGTATATATACACACACACACACACACACACACACACAAACACACGCACGCACGCACGCACGCACATATATATATATATATATATATATATATATATATATATATATATATATATATATATATATATATAAACTGTGAGTTATCAACTTAGATGTTATGATATTTGTTTGCTCAATGTAAGTTTAGACTAATGAATCCTTACCTTTGAAAGCAGAATGATACAGTAGATGATAATAAACTGCTTGCATCTGCATTAAAAATGTAAACGAAACTCAGAGGTTTTGCTTACGTGGTCGTGTTCGAGTTGTTCCTTTCCAGAAATTGTCCTTGTAAGGGACTTTTGACAGGCTCTGTCCTTGTTTCTCTGCCAGGTCTGATTCATAAACATAACAGTGATAGATATAAGAGACAATGGAAAATATGTTAACAGAAACAGATCTCTGAGACTTCACAAGGTTAAAATAAAAACATCATACAAAAGCACCGCTGATGTCAAATTACTGCATTATTAAATAAAGAGAGAGTGCTTACCTTTTAGATTTGCTGCAAGCGGTGGTTTGGCCTTGTCCATTGGAGTTTCTCCATACTTGTTGCAGATGCTCACCTGAGCTCCATTACTGACCAGATCCTGGAGACGTGACCAAACAGTACAACCAACCAATGAGTACCAATGTTCAAGCATTTCTTTGATGATTCTGCTAATGTTAACCTTTATGAACTATATGTCAAGATTTGACTTCTGAAAATGAAATGGAGCTGAAAATGTTGTTTTACAAAACAGTCATTATTACAAGGTTATTTTAGTCTAATAAATAATAATATCTAAAAATATTTTTTGTTAACTGAAAGTAATTAACAATGGAAAAACAAAAAATTCACATAAAAAAACAAGTGAAAAAAAAAAAACTCAGCAAAAATATTTATGTCCTTTAGAATTAATAAGCAGTCATTCTGTGGCAGAAAATCTGAGCTGCTGTAATATATAGAAGTACCTCAAGATGGGGCTTTTATAGTTGAACGCATCAGTCAAGCACATGATTATATATACCTTCTTAATTATAAAAATCTTCCATGTATTTTTAATCCTTGACAAATGTAAACTAGGCATGTTTAACTACATATATTATCTCTAAAATCAAGATTTATCGTTTTATCTGCATTTAAGGTTTACGGTTCGGTGTCTTTTCAAACAAATCTTTCATTTAATACCAAGAGGTAATTTTTTTTTAAACTCTGTTAAACTAAAATGATTAAAACTAAAACTGAAACTAAATATATAAAAACTAAATAAAAAGTGTGTTTAAAGATACAAACTAAACTAAAACGAACCAAAAAACAAACATTAATGAAACAAACTAAAACTAAACAGTAATAATTGAAATAAAAAACGAATTAATAAATCATAATTATAAGAACCTTGCATAATTGATTTTTTTAATGACATGAAGTTGCTAAGCACATATTATTGGGGTATTAAAAATCTGCATTAAAATGATGAATGGAATTGAATCAAATTCCTTTTACTTTGTAACTTATGATTGCTCAAAAACAATACAAATCTCAATTTCTAACAAAAAACAAAACATAAATAACGCAACATAAAATATCACACTTAAAAGTCACACTTTCTAGTTTGCTATATTCCCTGTCTTTTAACATGTGAAGCACATGTGAGGATCTTTCACACACATCTATGTTTGTTTCCCTAAAAATAAGTCACCTAATTTATAAGATGCAACACACAGTGGAAATGAAAATATATATATACAGAAAAGTCACACTGGTGTCTAAGTCTCCTTTTATCATTTCAATCAGAAATCATGTCAATTAAGTTCTTTTAGTCAAGTAACAGAAGCCATTTCTCCCGCTCTGACAGCTGAAGTTTGTGATGTTTCCCAGCAGAGGGCGCTTCATACTCACCTCCGCCACCTGATCGTGGGCCCAGAAGCAGGCATAATGTAGAGGGGTGTTTCCGTGCTCGTTTGCCGCATTGGTATCTGCTTTACACTGAATCAGCTGGAACACACAATCCACAACATAATTCAGCATTCACACAGCAAACACACAACAACAATTCACAATCTGTAGTTTTACACAACTATAGATTTGCTACTCAATATGCTATTCAAGAAACATTGATATTTATCAGTGTTAAAAATGGCTGCTAATTTTGTGGGTGTAAAAAATGTGTACTATTAAAAGTACCATTAAAAGGATAGTTTAACAAACAATGAAAATGTATCATGTGGTTTTAAACCTGAGTTTCTTTCTTCAGTTCAACACAAAAAGGCGATATTTTGAAGTATGCTGTTTGCTGGCACTTATCGACTGTAGTAAGAAAGAAAAACAACGGAAGTCAAAGGGTACCAGCATTTTTCAAAATATCTTCTTTTTTCTTTAACAAAGAAAGAAACTCAAATAGGTTCTGAACAAGTGAAGCGAGAGTAAATAATGCCACAGAATTCCCAGTTTAGGGCTAACTACCTATTTAAATATCACTGATCCCAGACTTTTGGCAATAAGTGTATGTTTAAGGTTTGTGTGTGTGTGTGTGTGTGTGTGTGTATTTAAAGCATTGCCGTTTGCAGCTGTGTGTTTGTTTACACCTTTCCATGAGCATTGTGGTCAGTGTGGTTGTTCAGGTGCAGTTGTGTGTGTGTGTTTGTAAGTGTTTATCTGCTGTGATCTTTTCACACCTTGGCCAGAATGTCACGATGGCCATGGCTCGCTGCCAGGTGCAGGGGTGTGTCGTCGCCGCGGTTCATCACATTGATACGAGCACCTCTCATGATGAGCATATCCACAACACCCGAACGGCCCTCGCGGCACGCCCAGTGCAACGGACTGAAGCCGTGATCATCCCTGACAGAAACAGACACATGCAGAGTGAGCAGAGTAACTCAAAAACACATACAGATGTTCAGACACCATGGAATTAAAAACTGACCACCTTCAAAAACTTACAAATGATTCTGTGTACATCATATCGAAAAATAATGATAATGTTAAAGATAATTTCCTCATCGTTATCGTCCTTTTATTATGTTGGTGGCTGTTTTTTTCCCTATTGACTTTCATTATAGCGACATTTTTTGACGGCGTAGCCTTGGCAGCAATTAATTATGCATTTTAGTTGCTGGTGGTTTTACCAGTTGGAATGAAGTCAAATTTGTTACGGCCCATTCACATGGGGCGTCAGCCTTGCCGAACTGAATTGTGGGTCTGTCAGCGCTGCCTCAGTGGAATTGCTCACTGCAGAAGTTAGACTTTCTCAACTTTTCAAGCGCCAACGAAAGCGTCAGCCAATTAGATCGCTGTATGCAAATACATCAGCTCAGACAGTAGCCAATTGTGGACTAATTTAATTGGCTGACGCTGCTATGATGTGTCAGCCCTAACTTCAGACACGCCCTCAGACAAGTGTGAAGCCCCGTGTGAATCAAGCGTTATTCTTATGGTTGATCATCAGTTGGCACCATTAAACCTTTGGACAGGCCTGTACAAAAAAGTTTGTGTATAAATACCCTTACTATGTTTACTATGTTCTGAGAGAAGTTGTGGTGCTTATTTTGATATTCTTAGATAGATCATGGTAAGTGTGCAAAGGTGTGCTCTCACACACTGGCACATGCACGAACGCACATAAACACACATTCACACACTATTCTCGATATATAAAAGCCAGAAACTAAGCTTTTCTTGCACTGCTGCAACTGTTGATTAATAATTGCAAATTTTTGAATTGCAAACAATGAAGAACGCATGGTATGATGTCACGGCTTTGCAAACAAAAAAGTTGTTTTAATTGAAGTCAATAGGGAAAAAAAAAACAGCTCCCAACATAACAAAAGGGTAGAAGATATACCCAGAATGTTCTGTTGAGTTTTTGAAAATTTTCAAAGCATTTTCCCAAAATATGCATAAAAATTAGGTTTGTTACAAAAAATCATACCATTTGCTGAAACGCAGAGAAAGGTTTGACCAAATCAAGACTCAACATCACCCCAGAGTGGATGAAAACATCCTCAACAGCACACAAGGGTTAATTAAATTAACTTTTACAACATCTCTTTTGCAAAACAGCCATTCCATTTGCAACATCTCTTTTATTTTGACAGCATTCACTGTCATGAGGGTATGGCAACATGCCAATCACTAGTGATCTACCAACAGCAGACCACAACAACCCAACAATGCAATCAAATCCCAGCGGACAAGTACCACCCTACATATTTTCCTTGTTTGAGAACAGTTTTACTCAGATGTATGTCACAATGACATAAAAGAAAAGACTATCACAGTTTACATTTTATTCTGACGTAGAGACTTTTGTATTTGAATTGTCGTTATAATGTTTCCTCCATTTAGATTACCTTTTCATTCATTTGGAATAGTTTGTGTTAGAGCTGTCTGTTTTTTTTAAATGTATGACTGACAAATATGGACAGTGAGTCCTGAGCTTCCCAATGGGAATTCTGGAATGCTCTTTATTTCCGGCCAAACTGCATGTTTCATGAAAGGAAGGAATGCTGAGAAACAGATACCCAAGCAAGCAAGCAAAAAACAAGTCTAGAATGGTGTCAAACAAAAAGGAAGATACTTTTTTTTTAAAATAATTAACCAAACAGGAAATGAACAAAGGAAGTTATAAAGCAGGCTGGATATTTCCCAGCCCTAATTGAACCGTCCCTTTAAGTCAAGGAACTTTTTTGACGTAGCGGTTGGCGGTAAAATGTCTCCAGTCAGGCTAGTGATCTCGTTCTCAGCTGTCTGTCTCCAGCCAGTTAAATATAAACAGCCGTTAACTGGCCCTTTCCTCTAGATTATGTATATCCCCTGCCCCCCAGCACTTCAAGACTGAGATCCGCTCTCAGGGCTTCCCATTTCCTTTTCAAAACCACTGTAAAACTCACACTTACTTCAGATTAGCAGGACAAGAAAGTAACAATAACAACAAAGTGATCAGATCAGAGCCTGTGCATTAGTGCGGTTACTGAAAGCATGTGTGACTGAACCACAAAGTGTGTTTTTTACCAATAAAACTGCTGAACGCAAATGCTCTTAGTGTTTTTTTTTAAATAAACAAAGGTAACGCCTGCAGATCGTGCTTATGTCGAGCTTCGTAGCAGTTAATTGTGAAGCTTTTGTCTGCTGTAATGAAGTGTTTGTTAAGGGGCTGGGTGTGTGCAGTACAGTAGGAAGTCTCTGGGTAAATAGTCAGGCCAGGAGTGTGGCTAAACTTAGGGTAGCTGCTGAAACTTCTCACAGGGATCTGCCGGAACAGACAAGACCACACACACACACACACACACACACATACACACACACACACACACACACACACACACACACACACACACACACAGACAGACAGACAGACACACATGCACAGTGTTGACCGAGTCAAATGGTGGTTTGGTCAAATCTGAAGCAGTTTAACACAAAAACAACAGAAAAAAGGCAAACAAACAGGAAGTCCCCTCTTCCCAAATAAATAATTAAGTTAGGACAGCAATTTCCATTGGGGAGTTTCTGAACATTTTTTATTTCTAGCCTTTTTAAAAGGAAAAATAAGAAATGTAAGGAGAGAAAAGAAAAGAAAGAGTCAAGCAAAGGTTAGAAAGCAGGAAGAAACCAGGAAAGACAAGAAGAAAGTTTGGGGGGAAAAAAGAAACAGAAAAAAATTAGAGGGAAAAAGGGAGGAAATCAGCAAATGAATAACGGATGTGGCGAAGAGAAAAGGATGGACAAAGGACAAAAGGATGCAGCAAAGAAGAAAGCAGAAAGAAATGAAAGGAGAGAAAGAAAGAAAGAAAGAAAGAAAGAAAGAAAGAAAGAAAGAAAGAAAGAAAGAAAGCAAATAAATGAAGGACGAAAGAAATGAAGCAAGAATGAAATGAAGGAGGAAAGAAAGAGAGAAAATAAGGAAAGGAAGGATTAAATAAAGGAGGATTCAAGGAATGATGAAGGAAGGATGGAGGGAAGAATGAATGAAAGAAAGGAAGGAAGGAAGGAAAAAAAGAAAGAAAGAAAGAAAAGAAAAGAAAAGAAAAAGAAAGAAAGAAAGGAAGGAAGGAAAAAAAGAAAGAAAGAAAGAAAGAAAAGAAAAAGAAAGAAAGAAAGAAAGAAAATAAATGAAGGATGAAAGAAATGAAGCAAAAATGAAATGAAGGAGGAAAGAAAGAGAAAATAAGGAAAGGAAGGATGAAATAAATAAAGGAGGATTCAAGGAATGATGAAGGAAGGATGGAGGGAAGAATGAATGAAAGGAAGGAAGGAAAGAAAGAAAGAAAGAAAGAAAGAAAGAAAGAAAGAAAGAAAGAAAGAGAGAGAGAAAGAAAGAAAGAAAGAAAGAAAGAAAGAAAGAAAGAAAGAAAGAAAGAAAGAAAGAAAGAAAGGCACAAGACTTAAAACAATTTCAAAGATCTAGTTATAAAGCAGGAAATGGAAGCTATAGAAGAAGGCTGAAGACAGCTGGACTATACGAAAAAAAGCAGCTGAAGATGAAAACATAATTATCAGTGTTCAAACAGAGAGTCAGAGCTCAGTCTTATCATCATCACCCCAGCACTCAGCACAGCAGAGCTCCTTCACACACAGGCCTGAACAGAGGAAACCAGAGCGGGAAACACAGGAAATCATATTCCACGCTCTCTCTTCCACTGTAGCGACTCCCTCCCTTCGCCTGCCCTGCGCTATGGTCAATTCAATACAGTTAGTACTCTTGTCCTTGTAAGGTCGTGAAGCACATGCTGTTAACAAGCGCACACACACAGAGAGAGAGAGAGAGAGAGAGAGAGAGAGAGAGAGAGAGAGAGAGAGAGAGAGAGAGAGAGAGAGAGAGAGAGAAAGGAACGTTTACGTTAAATGCCTTACAAACGCACAAAGACAGACTATGTAAACAGTGATACTAGAGTCACAGCTGAAAGATTACGTCTTGAGACTGCGATTATACGATCAAAGAGTCGTAAAAACTCTCTTATTAAGAGCATCCTCCTGCCAAAAAACGTTCCAGGGTTGCATTTGGTAGTGATTTAAATGTACGGCTTCACTTCTGAGTTCAAGTTTCAACCTTTTAGCAACAATCTGGCTGAGTGAAGCTCGGACTGAATTAGGTCATAAACCGCACATCAGTGAGGCGCCATGCTCTAAAATTGTATCCAAGCTAGCAGGCTAGTGAAGTGTGTGACAAAAAAGGGGGTTTGTGACAGGAAATGTAACTCAAACAATATTGCGAAACATCTAAAAATCCCCTTTTCTCAAACCACATATCAAAGTGTGTGTATATTTAGATACTACAAGCTCAAAGGAGAAGTGAAAAAAAGAGATGCATTTTTAGTAGTAAACGGCGATTCACTGTTTGGTAAACGTGCTTGTAATTGACCTGTAGCTTCGGTGTGGGTTTTAAAGCCACACAGACAAACAGAGCTGTAACCCAGCATTTAGTTTGTCTCGGTCTTTGGTCTTCTACTATCATTAGTTGCTCTTTAGTACCATCCAGACATCAAGAATAAAAAGCAGCACACAAAATGTGTCAGTTCCTCTTTGAGTCACTGTTTGAGACTCGCAAGACTCGAAGTGGCCTTCGTTACTGGAGAAGCACAGATGCAAAATTTGGTTACGGATATCCGATCTTCAAAACAACCTGAGATGGTGTAAGACACGGTATTATGTATTGCATACAGGAAAAATGCTGAAAAGTCAATTTGTAAAAGTACAGATATGAAGACAAAGATATATTTTAATTCAGTAATTTAGGCAATTTAACCTCAACAATAATGTGTGATTGTTATTTTTATACATGTTAGTTGGATAAAAAATGCAATTTTATATGCAAATACAATTAGTTTTAACATAAAAAT